AAAAAAAAAAAAAAAAAAAAAGAAGTCTCTCTTCAGGCATCTCAAGAGGAATGAATAATTTGTCAGGAGAAAATTTCTTCTTTATATATCCTCAGGTTATATATTACTATATCTGAAGTCATCAGTGCTTTCCCAAAGTAGGTCTCAGGGATATAGATTTTTCTTTACTGCTTTCAAGATCAGTTCTTACTTATCTGCATTCCCATTATTATTTAGGGATTTTTAAGCATTTAATTTTTTCATAATATCTGCCTAGAGGAAAAGAAGCTCCATATATTTCTAGTGTTCTCTTTCATCAACTCACAAAAGAACTTTTGAGAGCTGGGTAGATTTACCTGCTACATAATGTCTGGATAGGAGAGGGGATAGAATGTCCTACACTTGACAGAGTTCCTTGTTTTCTTGAGCTACAGTTTGTTTTTTCCTGTCTTCTCTGCTTCTGCTAGCAGTCCTAGCAGGCAGTGCCTCGTGTCTCAATTAGACAGTTTCCATCAAGCAGAAAGGCTGATTCTAAGAGTAAATCAAATAAAACCTGTTGATATAGACCGTCATCTCTGCCTACTAGCCAGTTGCTTTCTAGGTGCTCCATGGTTGTAATCAACCTAACTTCTTTTTTTTTTTTTTTTTTTTTGAGTTGGAGTCTCACTCTGTCACCCAGACTGGAGTGCAGTGGCGCTCCTGGGCACTGCAGCCTCAACCTGCTGGGCTCTGGCAGTCCTTCCGCCTCAGGCTTCCAAGTAGCTAGAACTACAGGCGCGTGCTACCACGCCTGGCTAATTTTTTACTTATTGTAGAGATGAGGTCTCGCCAAGTTACCCAGGTGGGTCTTGAACCCACGGGCTCAGGCATTCCACTCACCTCAGCCTCCCAAGGCGCTGGGATTACAGGCTGAGCCACCGAGCCCGACTTCAACCTAATTTCTTAAGATATATTAATTGCTTCAGGCCAGGCGCAGTGGCTCACACCTGTAATCCCAGCAACTTGTGGGAGGCTGAGGCCGCAGGATTGCCTGGACAACTTGGCAAGACCTCGTCTCTACGACAAATCAAAAAATGGGCCAGGCATTGTAGCGCACACCTGCAGTTCCAGCTACTTGAAGGCTGAGGCGGAAGGATTGCCTGAGCCCAGCAGGTTGAGACTGTGGTGGCCGTGAGCCTGCCACTGCACTCCAGCCTGGGCAACAGAGTAAGACTCTAACTTAAAAAAAAAAAAAAAAAAAGATATATTAACTGCTTCAAGTAATGACAGATGTTGCTTTAAAAATAGTCATGATAAAATTTTTGTTTTCAGCAATAGAAATTCAGTAGTAAACTAGATGTTTGTATGTGGGGGCCTGGCCTTGTGATTTTCTTTGGTTTAGAGCCTGGGTTTGAATTTTTCCTCCAATAATGATAGTTTCCTACTTTATAAGGAGGTTGTGGAATTCAGTGATTAATGTTTTAAAGTGATTCTAACAGTGCCTAGCTGTTCTAAGCAGTTAAATGCATTAGCACACTAACTGTTAGTTCCTGTTTTTGATGATAACTTTTTTTGCTAATACTGTTATTCCCAAGGACCTCAAAGTTAGCCTCATTTACTAAGAAACATGAGTGTGAAAGTCACCAAAATCTCTGAATGAGTAATCAGAGGAAAGTGAATCTAAAAAGCATAGCGCACAGACAGTTTGAATAGGATTGGAAGCCCAAAAGGATAGTCGTTGCATTATAGCAGAGGCTACCTAGAGCTAGAACAGCAGCCCTGACTGGTTGATAATCTAATGGTCTAAGCTTAAAATGATGGAGGAAGCTTCAAGTTCCCTGACTACACTTTTAGTTTTGAGAAATTAAATCGGAACTCTTCTTATTTTTAGTAAAAGAAGATTAAAAACAGAGACGCTCCAGCTGAAGAGGCTAGGCCATCCATCAGAGACTTTTCACAAAGGTCTTCTTTACACCCGAGTCAAAGCTCACTTCTGGCCAACATGCCTCTGTTGCCCCAGCTAGAATCATCGAAACACTAGGGGAGATAGGAGACAAAGTGGATTTTCTGGTCCGATTTGAGACTGAGTTAGCAAAGTAAAACGTTAGAGCGGAGGAACATCAAGACAAAGAAGCTATCTGCCAGGCTACTGCAGGCACACATAACCAAAATAGTCCTCAGACTACATAGGGGACCATAAGTAAAAGTCTTAATCACAACTACAGCTTTGTCCAGAGGGAGTGGTTGGCCTTTGTGTTTTTCTTTTTTGAGTGAAAAAACACGTGATCCTTTAAACAGAGGCAGCCAAGCGCAGTGGCTCATGCCTATAATCTCGGCACTTTAGGAGGCAGAGGCGAGAGGGTTGCCTGAGTCCAAGGGCTTAAGACAAGCCTGGGCAAGTTGGTGAGACCTCATCTCTACAATAAACCAAAAAATTAGCTGGACATGGTGGCGCCTGCCTTTGGTTCCAGCTACTTGGAAGACTGAGGCAGAAGGATCACCTGAGCCCAGCAGGTGGAGGCTGTGGTAGCCATGAGTGTGCCGCTGTACTCCAGCCTGGGTGACTGAGACTCGAACTCATAAATAAATGCATAAATACATAAATAAATACATAGATAAATAAAAACAGGCAGTTCAGGGAAGTAAGCACTGAAAATTACTTTCATTTTAGGGTCCTGCCTTGGCCATGATATAAGGCAGAGTTAACTCAGATGTTTTGAGCAATGTCACCCCATCAGATTGACAGTGAAATTGGCACTAAGCCCTGTATTGCAAGCTGAGAGTCTAAAATGAAATCTCTGAGTTTCCTTTTTTTTTAGTTAACTTTTTATTTTAGGATAGCTTTAGATTTACAGAAAAGTTGAGAAGATATTACAGAGAGATCCCATACCCTGTTCCTTCTATTATTAACACGTTACATTTGTATGATACCTTAGTCTCAATTAAACAGTAGTAATACATTATTATAATAGTGATATCCATACTTTATTCATATTTCCTTAGTTTTTAACTCTCAGTTTTGAGATGCCTTTTTACCCTAAGAGAACTGTTCAGCTTAGGACTAAAGTATACCAACTAGTGGGTGGCATAGTAACTGCTTCGTGTGTAGACTCCATACAGTGTGACTTTGTCTGGTTTATCCCTGCATAGTCATATAACAGGTGCTTGGTAATTTTGAATGGTTTATTATTAGATTACTGGGTGCCTCCCTCAAGAACGGGTGCACAGATAATGCTGGGTCGATGTTACTTTGTAAGTTAAGCAACTTTAAAGTGGTAATTAATCTTATGCCACAGTCTCCTATGTTCCTGAGATCACTGTTTATTTTTCTTATTTTCCCTACTTTTACAAAGAAATACTCAGCAGATCATTACACACCTTTCCCTTCTGACCTGGCTTTCCTCTCAGAGCAAGTAGCCGCCGCCTGCGGGTTTCAGGGTTTCCATGCCGAGGCAGGCATCCTGAATTACTACCGCTTGGACTCCACACTGGGGATCCACGTAGACAGATCTGAGCTAGATCACTCCAAACCCCTACTGTCATTCAGGTATGTTCCTTCCAGGGATTCGGATGACTTTTCATCATTTAATTCTTTTTTCTAAAGCATTTTGAACTAAAATAAATAAATGAAAACATTAAATTTTAAAAAATGATTGGACTCTGCAGTCTTTCACTTCTGAGCATCTAACAATTTACCACAAAATAAAGTTAACCTACTTTTTAAAGAGCAGTGACCAAGTTATAGTTACCACTTCTGTTTAAGACACATGGAGCCTACCTTTTGTAAGGAGAGAGCTTGTCAGTGTCCTGTGGAATAGACGAGGGGAAGGCCAGAATGCAAAGTGAGGGGCCTTTTGGAGTAGAGGAGCAAAACACAGAAGCCTGCGTAGTTGATGCTCCCTGTCTCCCTCAACATAAGTTCACATTTGTGCAAAATTTGAGTTAAATTTGTATCTCCACGAAGAAAGTCCCTTTTATTAATTGTCTTATCTTTGAAGTGAAGGGATAATAAGCATAATAAAAGACTCAATTTTTTATAAGACTTAAATCTTAATGATGCATCAGTAAAACTTCATATGGATAACACTAAAGTAAAATTCTTCATTTGCTTATTTAACTGCATCAAATTGTATTTTGCAGTAGGCCTGTGGTATAGTCAGCAGTATGGTAGACCGCGTGGAGAAGTACAGGCCATAGGTTGGTCACTCAGAGACATACCCCAAATTCTCTGGAGAAGGGTCTTAGCACAGTTTTAAAAGGAGAATTTGAGCTGGGCTCGGAAGGCTGAGGTGGAAGGATTGCCGGAGCCCAGCAGGTTGAGGCTGCTGTGGCCAGGAGCAGCCACTGCACTCCAGTCTGGGTGACAGAGTGAGACTCCAACTCAAAAAATAAATAAATAAATAAAATAAAAGGAGAATTTGGAGCCGGGCTCAGTGGCTCAGCCTGTAATCCCTCGCCTTGGGAGGCTGAGTGGATTGCCTGAGCCCGCGGGTTCGAGACCCTCCTGGGCAACTTGGTGAGACCTCATCTCTACAATAAATCAAAAAATTAGCCAGTTGTGGTAGCGCACGCCTGCAGTTCCAGCTACTTGGAAGGCTGAGGTGGAAGGATCGCCAGAGCCCAGCAGGTCAAGGCTGTGGTGGCCAGGAGTGGCCACTGCACTCCAGTCTGGGCGACAGAATGAGATTCCAACTCAAAAAAAAAAAAGAAAGAATTTGGGAACAATGAGTGTCAGGCTGAAAATAGAAAGTAACACAGCTGGCAGTAACTTTTTCAGCAATGGCCAATAATAGAAATGTACCTTTGCATGTTTTTATTTCTTTTTGTAGCTTTGGACAGTCTGCGATCTTTCTCCTGGGTGGTCTCAAGAGGGATGAGGCCCCCACAGCAATGTTTATGCACAGTGGCGACATCATGATAATGTCAGGTTTCAGCCGCCTGTTGAACCACGCAGTCCCTCGGGTCCTTCCAAATCCAGAGGGGGAACGCCTGCCTCGCTGCCTAGAGACACCTCTCCCAGCTGTCCTCCCCAGAGACTCAGTGGTAGAGCTCTGCTCTATGGAGGACTGGCAGGTGTGTTCCAGCTACTTGAAAACCGCTCGTGTTAACATGACTGTCCGACAGGTCCTGGCCATGGACCAGAACTTCCCTTTGGAACCTGTAGAGGAGAGAAAAAGAGACATCACCACACAAAGTTTCTGCCATCTGGATGGCCAGAATAGCCAAGTGAAACGGGCCAAGACAAACCCTGACAGCTGAGGTTTGGAGGTCCCATTTTTATTGAGGTAGGTCTTACAGTTGGTTGACTCTGCTATTCTGAATTGTCATGGACTTCAGCACCAAGACAAGCCAAAAACAGGGACGAACTCATCATTGATCCCACCGTTGGCCTTGGAACCCACCTTGGAGACTACACCGATGAGTCACTTTGCTCAGAGAAATGTTTGACATGGTTTGATTCTAGTTGGACATCGGCACTTCTGTATGCTGAGAAGTCAGTCCAAGGAGGTATGTTTTTTCACGACAGCCTTCCCAGCCTCCGCCATGCCCTCTGAGGGAAGTAGAGGGAAGTCTCCATGTCTGCAGAGTCTTTAAATACCTCAGGTTTTATTAGTGGGAAACATGGCACCCTAGCCCACTGCATCTTAGGATTTGTGGTAAATCATGTTTCCACGAGCCGGTCGCTGGTCACAACTTCTTACTTCATCCAGGCATCCTTACATTATTTCATTTTTCTTTCATCTTCTCTGGCTCTCACAAAAGAATTCTATGCATATTAATATGGTGGAACTGGACATTTTGTTCCCTAGAAAATAAATTAATCACACCATCTCTCTTGCCTGGAAGGTAAACGTGTGTGAACCCAAGGAAAGGGGAACAGTAGTTTCTCCACGTGTCGTTTCAGTCTCCAAACTCTTTGGTGGCTTTTCAATGCAGTTTTGATTGGTCTACAAACGTCCTAAGGGCATTTTGTTACTGTTTTCTCCATGAATAAATTCACTTGATTTTAAATTAAAGATCTGTATCTGTCTTTGAGGATTAGTGTATCTGAGATTAGTTTTTTTGCTATTTTATGTGCTGTACTGTTCATGCTTTTGAAGTCCTCCAGCTGGCTCTGCCCTGCAGTATCCCACTCTGCTCTATGCATTCTTTGTGGCTGTCTCACTGGAGAGAACATTCCTTGGTGTTCCCATCATGCTGTCTGATGGTGGACTGCATGGAGAAGGCGTGACACACCAAGGCTTCATCTGAACTCCTCCAGCAACTCAGCTCACTGTGTCCTGACCCAGGCTTCTTTATATTTCTCTGGACCTCAGTTTCCTCCTTTACAAAATGAAGACAGTAGCTACTGCCGTCTCCCTGAGTGGGGGCGTGAGGGCTTGGTGTTTTAAAGGGAATTTATGCTACTTTCTAGAAACATGATGTGCCAGTATTGTTTCATTTTCACACAGGCTCTCAGAAACATCCCAGCTTGCCTGTGTGTAGGACTCGCAGGAAGTCCTTTAATGCCTGCTGCTTGGGACATGAGTTGTAGAATTTGTCTCTCTCCTCTGTCCTGCCTTTTTTTTTTTTTAATTGCCAGCATTGAATGTGAAGTTCATATAGTAGTTGCAGGTGTTTTTTGTTTTCGTTTTTGTTTTTGAGTTGGAGTCTCACTCTGTCGCCCAGACTGGAGTGCAGTGGCCGCTCCCGGCCACCGCAGCCTTGACCTGCTGGGCTCCGGCGATCCTTCCACCTCCGCCTTCTGAGTAGCCGGAATTACAGGCATGCGCTACCATGCCCGGCTGATTTTTGGATTTATTGTAGAGATGAGGTCTCGCCAAGTTGCCCATGCGGGTCTCGAACCTGCGGGCTCAGGCATTCCACTCACCTCAGCCTCCCAGAGGCGTGGGATTACAGGCTGAGCCACCGAGCCCGGCTTCTCTTGCTCTTTTTTTGTTTAAAGATGTACAAGAGAAAGGACCCCCCCAAAAAACCTGGAATTCATTTATAAGGGGCAGGCCCCCTATAGTACAGACTTCCCCCAACACATAGGTGTTCTAGGAACCCATCGGCACCAGTGTACCAGCTAGCCTTGTTATGAGACTTGTGTTCAGCTTCAGTGAATTTTTTTTCGGAGAGTCTTCCAACGTGTTTGTCCATTTCATAATCGGTGATTTACTCAAACCACCTGCCCACACCACATTGAATATTCAGCAGTTTTGACCAAAAACCATGTAACCCCACCCTACTTATTCACCCAATCTCACCCTGACGTTTTTGTTTCCCGGATGAAGAAAGTCTCAAAGGGACACATTCTGCTGATGCGGAAAAGGTGAAACCAAAAAATGGCAGAAACTCTAAAAGGCATCAAAATTGACAAGTTCAAAAATAGTTTTGAGCAATGGAAAAAGCATTTCCGATAGGTGTATTGCATCCAACGGAGAGTACTTTGAAGGTGGCTGAGGTTTTAACTTGTAAGAATAAATACAAAATTTTTTATCAATAAATGCCGGGATTTTTTGGGTTCCCCTCGTATAATACACTCTACTTATATTGTCTGACAATAAGCAGAAAATCATGTAATCCAAAGGAAAATTAGTGGTTTTTCTTAGTTCAAGTACAGCAAATTGTGACCCACTTCCTAATTTTGTCCTATGAGCTAAGAATAGTTTTTATATTTCTAAATGGGGGTAAAATCAAAGGCAGAATCTTCTGTGACAGATGAAAATTACATAACATACTCAAATTTCAGTGCCCATAAATACATCTTATTGGAACACAACCACTTTAATTGATTTCCATGTTATCTGTGGCCATTTTCATGCTGTAACAATAACTGAGCAGTACCTACCAAGACTGTTATCACCTACGAAGCCAAGAAGACAAGATCTGGCCATTTATAGAAAAGTCTGGGCACCTAGGAAGGAGCCTATACCCCTAGAAAAGACCCTAAAAAAAAGAACCTTTGGGGTTTTTTTTTTTGTTTTTGGTTTATTGTAGAGACAAGGTCTTGCCAAGTTGCCCAGGCTGGTCTCAAACACCTGGGCTCAGTCAGTCCTCTTTTCTCTGCCTCCCAAAGTGCTGGGATTGTAGGCGTGAGCCACTGTGCCCGGGGGGGAACCTTTAACCAAGAAAAGGGGCTAATGGGAGGAACTTTTTAGGCTGAGTATGGTGGCTCATTCCTATAATCCCAGCACTTTGGGGTGCCTAACCTAGGAAAAATTGAGACCCTGTCTCTTAAAAAAAAAAAAAAAAAAGCATCTCAAAAAATTATTTTAAACCGACAAAGAAATAAAAATGCCAGTGTGACTTAGGATGTACACTGTGTCGAGAGTCACAGATATTAGGCCGGGAGAAATGGGCACTGCTCCTCCACTCATGTCCTGCTTCTAATCCCACAGGAAATGCTGGCTCCACTAGCAGCCCAGCATCCTCCTTCCTCTGGATGCTAGAGGAATGTCCATTGCTATCTCCTCTAAGATCATATAATTGGGCATCACTGAGTATAACTTTGCATCCAGCTGGGCCAGGGCAGTGCCGAATCTACTTTTCCTCTCGCAGGGGGTCTGGTTTGGTGATAAATTATGTGGTCATCCTAATTTTGTTATCAAATGTATACACTTTGACCCAATAAATTTCACTTGTTGGAATTGAATCTAAGGAAGTCATTGGAGCTATCCAGAAAGATTTTTGTGTGAGGATGTTTACAGTAGAGAAAATCCGAAGTCAGCTCAATATCCAGCAACAAATGAAATCCGTGCATTTTTCAGCAGATGGTGATTGAGCTCTGCCCTTGGCTACTCTGAGTACTCGCCTCTGTGCAGCTTGTATGTGACCAGATTTGCCTCAGCTGTACACAGGAAAACTGGAGCAGAGTCACGCTTTAGAAGAACAGCGAGAGGTGTAGGGAAATAGTTTATGTTGTATCTAGGTGAGAAAATGCTATAAAACTGTCCCTAGTAACCTAATTTAGTACAGAATGTTTACATATTTCTCAAAATTGGGACAGTATATACCAAAACATAAGTGATGGTGGAATTACAGTTACTTTATTTGTACTATTCTGTAATTATGATTTTAAAATTTTTTTTTCATCTGCCAGACACCAGAGTTACCTGTTTTTTTGGTTTTTTGACATTAAAACTCTTTCTTTAAAAATACGCTTTTCAAGACAGGGCTGAAAAAGAAAACAAAACCAAAAGTTTTTAAACCATTTTTTAAAGAAATAATAGTCCAGGTACAGTGGCTTATGCCTGTAAACCTAGCACTTTGGGAGGCTGAGGCGGGAGGATCACTTGAGCCCAGGAGTTTGAGACCAGCCTGGGCAACATGGTGAGACCTCATCTCTATAAAAAAGAAAAGAAAAAATCAAACAATTAGCCAGGTGTGGTGGCACATGCCTGTAGTCCCAGCTACTCAGGAGGCTGAGGAGGAAGGATCGCCTGAGCCCAGAAGGTGGAGCCTGTGTTAAGCCATGATTGTGAGACTGCACTCCAGCCTGGGTGACAAGAGTGAGACCCCAACTCAAAAAAAAAAAAATGTGGACCTTTTTTTTTAATTGGAGTCTCATTCTGTTGCCCAGGCTGGAGTGTAGTGGCACTCTCACAATCACCCCAGCGTCGACCTGCTGAGCTCCGACAATCCTTCGGGCCCAGGCAATCCACTCGCCTCGGCCTCCCAAAGTGCTGGGATTATAGGCTGAGCCAGCAAGCCCAGCCTTTTTTTTTAAGATGACACTCTGACCTGTTGAGTTTACCTCTACCTGAAATTGAGAATGCACATCTAGGAACTATGTTGTCAATTAACCCCGTGTGGTGGCTCACGCTTGTAGTCCGTTACTCAGGAAGCTGAAGTGGAAGGATCACCTGAACCCTGGGGGTTGAGGCTGTGGTAAGGTGTGATCGTACCACTGCTCTCCAGTCTGGGCAACAGAGTGAGACTCCGACCCCCACCCCCTCTCCTCCCAAAAAAGAGCATGCACCGTCTTTACCAATGTTTTTTAAATGTGTACATGCCTAGAAAAGACTGGAGGGTTCTAATATTCTTATGTTTCCAAGTGCTTTTAAGGAAGGCCTTGGTGGTGCTTTCTTGAAGAGAGCCAGGAAGTGCAGGCATGTCAATTGCTGTCTCTCTAAGAGACAAAGTCCGGCGACTACAACCTTGTCGAGCGTCTCCCTCGCCTTCCTGGGTGCTTCCTGGCAGCTTCCTGGCCAGCCTGAAGTCCTCTCCCTTGTTCTAAAATGTGTCTTCCCCAGGTGGACCCACTCCTGCTGTGGGCTTACGATTTCCGTAGAGCTTCTCACCTGCTGCTGGTTTCAGCATTGCGCCGCTGGCCCTTCCTGGAGGGGCCCCAGGCCTTGGCGAGACACGGAGAGGCCAGGACGCAAAAGCACAGACCCAGCATCTTGGCTTTCTGCGTTCTCGTTTTTCCAGTTTCTATTCATGAGACAAGCTGGCCCCCCCACATCGCTCTCTTCCCTTCATCTAAAAGCTTGGTTTACTAGCGTAAGGGAAAAAGAGACCCTTTCCTAGGTGGACTCAACCCAGGCCAGTTAGTATGGTAACAAGGCAGAAGGGAGCCCTGGGGGTGACTGGATTTTGCGGGACTGGCAGGCTGGAGGAGAAGGACAGGAAAGGCACCTCGCGTGTGTTCTGTCTCGAAGGCCACGGTGGGAAAAAGCAGATCTCACCTCTGAGCCTGGATGGCCCATCTTGATTGATCTTCTTTGCGATCAGCTCCCGGCTAGAGCTGAGCCCTCACGGAGAGGGGGCTGCTGGCTCCATCCGTCTGACTGGCAAGACAGATTTCTTCCTGAGAGAAGATGCTCTAGGAGATGGAAAGTGACATGAGACGTTATCAGAAAAGCTAGATTGCAGTAGCAGCTCCAGCACGTGGCTGTGTGGCCTTGAGCAAGCCACTCCGCCAGGCCTCTGTGAGCTTTTCTGAGCCCCAGTGATCTCGTCTACAAGGAGGTTTAACCAGGGAATCCTTGAGTTAACCCACCCGCTCTTCAATGCTGTATTTCTAAAATGAGAA